ATGCAAAATGACTGTCTTACTGTGTCCAACTTCAGCAGCGATGGCACGTTGTGAGAGGCCTTGCTTATGCAGCTCAACAATCTTACCACGTTCAAAGTCAGTGAGCTTTTTTGTTTTTGCCATCAGGAGGTCTTGACAGTGTAAAGACTTGACAGAAAATGACATGGAATCCAGATTTTTGCACAGCTTTTGGCTTTTAAAGACTATGGTCTTAAACTTTTGATCATCTGAAAAATCAGGTTTGAGTGCAAATGCAGTTTTCAGAAAATTCCCTGCTTGTCTCTTGCACTGATTTCTTCTTTTAACATTGTGAAGCTCTACTCAGAACCTTCTTAAGATCCAATAGTGCAAAATGCAAATTCTTGCACTTTTTTGACTGGTCTTAAGATTTTGATCAGGAGTGTATATATAATATACTGTATATATATTGCTCATCTGGCAAAAAAATTCCTCATCTGGCAAATGGAGGTTCAAGCAAATTAAACAAATTGATGTTTTTGTTGAATTTTAGAAATCTTGACAACTCTGATAATAAGTTTGTTGGTATTTATTTATTTATTTATTTATTTATTTATTTTAATTTAACACATCAAAATGTGTGTGTGTTCATTTGTGTAGTCGCTGGAAGGCAAATTGCACAGGGAGGAGTCACGCCATGCCGCACATCAAAACGTATATGAGGGTTTCACCAGATTTCACACAACTCGCTTGGTTCCTTGTCACAAGGTGTGTGTGCACGGCACGTGCTTTCTATATTTTTCTAGCTTGGCCCTTGCCTTCCTACTCAGTTCCGCTCAATTCTAGTTTCCCTCTCACGAAACAAAGTGAAGGACAAGGGTCTGGTTTTTACCAGGCTAATATTTTTCCATAGGTTTTTTTGTATTTACTGATGTTTTCTTTTAAAAAAACATTTAACGTTTAGACAATTATATTCTTGTACATATGCATTGTGTGTGGCAGTATTTAAATATTTCTGTACGTGGAACAGTGCTAACCTGTCCAAGGCAGCATGGGGCGCACTGGAGAAGAACAACACTCAGGTGATGGTGCGTTCATACGAGCTGGGAGTCCTCTACGTACCGTCAGCTTTTGTAAGTGTAATACTTAATCACATGGATGAACAGAAATGTTATATCTGTTATTTCTCCCTGTTGGACATCATTTAGAGATGTTCTCCTGTGGTCATCAACCACAACTCATAGTTGTTAATGAAAGTTTGGAGCAGAGATGGGCAACTTGAAGGAAGGGGCCACAGGTATTTGTTGGCACTACACAGTGCTGCACACTTACCCAAATRTAATATTACTGCAATTTAAAACATTTCTATGTATGGGCCCTGTCACACTACACAACTTATGCCAATTTATGAAACTTTTTTCTTAGGGATGCACAATAACTCATACCAATAACTTTCTCCTTCTAATGGCCGATAACCGATAACATGCCAGGAGATAAGACGAGTCAAAAATGGGTAAGATCATAACATAAACAAACAACACCAAAATCAAGTGACACTGTAAATTATACCATTTGAAATAAACTCTTAGCAAACAAACATTTCTTAAAATATATGAAACAAATCAATTTCTCAAATGGCCATCTTTTTAAATAAGGCACATTAATTATAAAGAAAGACCTTTAACACTGAATCTCAGATTTAAACAAAAGAGAAAAAGTCATTCCACAAGTTCAAAACAGATAATTCACTAACACAAGTTAGATTCAAAGTACATTTGTTTTTATTATTATTATTAATATATGATTTCAAACATTTTTCTACATGAAACAGTGCTTCTGAGATTATTATGAGATTACAGACYCCTGTGTGGTCATGGTTCTGGTAAAACATTGCTGTTTGTGTACTTGTGACATCAGTATACTTATATTCAGCTTTGTGCAACGTGTTGTAGTGACAACATATTAAAATCCTTCATGGCAGGTTTGCCTTGAAATTCTGTGAACAGATAGCCTACCTCCCAAACTTAACTTAAAAAAATCATTCTTAGTGCTTTTTATAAGTTAAAAAATAAATAAATTGGCAGAATGAGGGCTTATTGACAGGACGGATGGAAGTTACCCAATGGCCGCCAGTTAACCACCCCTGGTTTGGAGCATCAACAGGTTTTAAAACTGTCAGCTTGGTCTTTTGGCTGAGCATGTGACTGGTACAGTGTTCTGATCCACAGTGAGGCTGTGGATGGGAAGCCTTTCTCTAAATATGGTGGTTCACACAAAGTGTAACCAGAGCGTTGTTAATAAGGTTCTTTACAAATCTGTTGGCATGAATAGTGTTGGAGTCTGATGTTTTGGCTTCTTACAGAACATGAAGACGTTCCCCGTTGATAAAAATCCATTTCCTGTCACGTCTTCCACCTCTGGTTTCCTGGTGCCCTTTGACCTCCCTCCTGCAAGGTATTCTTCCAAAGGTATGTACATTTTTTACATGGATGTTCTAAATAATGTGTTTTGTACTGCACGTGAATGCAGTCATTTTTAATTTATTCCAGGAAGACATATTTTAATGCATTGGCAGTGTGCATCCTCAGTTACACTTCCACCTCCATCTGCTTTAAAGAGCTTTTTTGTTTGTATTGTTTTGTTTTAATTTAAAAATTAAAAGAAGCAAAGACGTTTTAGCTTAAGGGTTTGTCTAAAGCGACTTCTGAATCCCAGCCTGTCGGGGTCTAACATGAATGAATCCCAGCCTGTCGGGGTCTAACATGAATGAATCCCAGCCTGTCGGGGTCTAACATGTATGAATCCCAGCCTGTCGGGGTCTAACATGTATGAATCCCAGCCTGTCGGGGTCTAACA